ATAGATGCTAAGTTACTTCAAATAATGGATCAGGCACATTTTAATGCATTAAAAACAATGAAATTTTCTCAAATTAGTTTTCTACTTTAGTAACTCATGTAATACTTATCATCATAATATTTCAGATAAAGGATTATACTAGCAATCTAAAACGTATCAATCATGATTCTGAATTTAACATTTCAAATGAAAGAATCCTTGCTGTTGAAGAGTAGATTCTATGTAAAAATGGAAAGCTAGATATAGGTGAACAGTGTGATGATGGACACTAAAGTTCCTATTAGTATTTTAAATAAATCAAAAGTCTTAATTTATTAAATAGTTGCAGTAGTGAATGCAAGATCCAGCCAGGTAATGGAGCTATAATCAATTCTCTTGGAGAGTGAACCATAATGTTCTGGACGTGTTATGAGGATAATGTTAGGTATTCTATTCATCTTACCTAGGCGGCGCGTGCTGAGGCGTAAAATTATTTATCAAGCTTAACTTGAGATTAGATGTAATGCTTATGGTCAAATATTTCATGATATTTATTGCGTATTGACAGAAACATCTTTTAAATGCTTCAGATCTGTAAAATATTCTAGTTTTAGAATTATAGAGAAAAAATATATAATGGTATTTTAATTAATACTGTAATAAGACTGATGGTATTTTATCTAATGAAGAGGAATGCGACGATGGAGATGTAACTCATTCAGGAGGGTAACATTATCCCTTTTTAATGAATTTTAGTTGTGATTAGAATTGTTACGTTAAACCTGGCTGGACTTGCATTTAATAAAGCAGTAATGGCATCTAAAGATGCATTAAGAGTTGTACTTATTATGGAGCAACATGTATGGACATGAATAGTAAATGTGATGATGGGTAAATAATTTCGTCTTTTATATTGAGTAGTTGTAATAAATATTGTGAAGTAGAAGAAAATTTTAGTTGTCTCTAGAATTTAGATTACTTTGAATGCTTCATGAGTCGTACTAGAAGAGTAACAAAATTTTAAGTGATTTAGCTAAAATAATTTATAGTTAGCTTTTTTCTCAGCAGTGACAGATGAATATTTTTCTAAGTTTAAAACAATCAAGTATTACTATAATACCTCTATTACAACAGAAATTCCAATTATTTAACATTCAACTGATACTACCATACAGACTTAAACTACAACACAGTTTGCAACTCCAATGCCATCGGACAGTTCCACATCTCCTAGTAATACCTATACAACAATTAGAGATACCACAACTTCTGCACCACTTGAAAATGATATAGTCTGTGGAAACGGTATTCTTGAGTTTGGGGAAGAATGCGATGTCTTAAATGAACCTTATGGGTAAATTATTATATGAAATTTTGCTATAGTTGCGATTACTTCTGTAGAATAAAGCCTGGGGTAGTGCATTTTGGACCATTTGGATAATCTCCCCAGCCTTTCTCGACTGATTGCAAAAATAATTCCCATCCCTCTTTGTGCCTTGATCAAAACAACAATAACAGTGATGGGTATAAACTAATGAATTAATATACTTTAGATGCTCCAGTGAATGCCATGTTGAGGAGAAATTCAGCTGCTTTACAGATAATATTGGAAATTTAAGATTTTACTGTATTTAGAAAATAGACTATCAGTAATACCAAAAATTTGATCCTCCTACTCCAACAACCATTTACTATGGAAATAGCTTTTGTAAAGAGAAGAATGGTATTGTGGAAAAAGGAGAAAGATGTGACAATGGTTTGGCCTATCAAATGGGGTATTCAAAATTATTTTAAACTTTTGATAGATGCGATGATAACTGCAAGGTTAGACCCGGATGGTCATGTGTTTCATAAGACGGCCAAAAATCTCATTGCTACAAGTCCTGCATTTATATGGGTACTGAATGTTTAGACAGGAATCATAAAGACGGAGATGGGTAAAGATTTTAATATCAATTTTTATAGTTGCTCTAAGGATTGCCAAGTTGAATGGGGCTACAGCATCGAGATTCATAAGATTTAGGGCTCAGAGTTCAATATGACTATACACTACGATGCTGCTTTGCACTATGAAACATAACCTCCTCCATCTACTACTTTGACAACTTAAAAACCATAGACAACAACCTATGGTCCAGGAACTTAAACAACAGAGACAACATTCCAAACAATAAAGCCAACAGTAAATTTGATTTCATTTACAAGATATATTTTAGCAGACTGAATAGCCTACAACACAGCGCCCCTCCACTATAGCTACAACGGCCAAATCCGAATCCTCTATTTCTTCCCAAACAACTTCAACAAATTCCCCAACCACACAATCACCTACGAGCTCATAAACAACGACTTAAATGCCAACTTAAATTCCCACATCCTCTGCTACTTAATCGACATAGTCATCTACTTCTATCTCAACACAAACAACAACAAAAATCACCTAACCATAAACTTCAACTACAATAAGTAGCACAAAGTCTTAAACTACAACAACAGTCCAATATACAACTACAAACTAACCT